CCGTCACGGGACGGGGGTCAATTTTACACTTCTATTAATGTGAATTTTAACATGTCAATGTGAATATTCACATTGTCAACGGGCCGGGCCGGGTCGGGCCCTCCCTGAGCTGCCGCCCAATTTTATACTCTTATCAATGTGAATTTTAACATGTCAATGTGAATATTCACATTGTCAACGGGCCGGACCGGGCCCACCCGGGCCACCCATGGGCTGCGGACTGGTTTCGCGCCGCCACGGGACGAGGGCCAATTTTACACTCCTATTAATGTGAATTTTAACATGTCAATGTGAATATTCACATTGTCAACGGGCCGGGCCTGCCCTGGTTCGCGGACGGGTTTCGGGCCGCCTACGGGCCAATTTACATTCCTACAAATGTGAATTTTAAAATATGAATGTTCGCATCATTAAATTGCTAATCGTTGAAAAAATATTTATAAGGGTATCAAAATTAAATATAAGGGCATAAGTGTCCAAGAAAATAGTGTAAATCAAGAAAATGGACTTTATGGAATAAAACTATACATACATGGGACTAAATGGGTTAAAAAATTCATTCATGGACTTCTTGGATTAAAACACTTTTAAATTGGACTTATCAATAAAAATACCTTAATAAAATTACTTTTTAAACTTCCAACCTTAGAAATTTGAAACCCCAATTTCTTTACATACCCAACCCTTTGTACGTCATGCCACCATAATCGTCGGTACTATCCAACTCGTCGTTGACACTATTCCATTCAACTCGCCATTGATATTCATATTTCTTTCTTTCACCGTTGTCGTCCTCTCTCCTTCATCTTCTCTTCGATTTGGGTGAAATGACAATCCATGCGTTACAACATCCATGGAGTGATTGTCATTTTGATAGAACTAAAGTAAATGGGTCATTGATAGACTATTCCTCCTCCACCCTCGAAATCATCTACAAAGAAGAAGAGGGTCGGTACCCACCCCTAAAACCATCTTCTTTGGCCACCACCTTCAACCACCGTTAACACCTTCCACAGGCCTCCGCTATTTCCATCTCCTTTCTTCCTTTCCTTTTTTTTCCAGAATCATTCATTTCGGTACTTTCTTACTATACCTTATCTTTGTGCTTATATTATACCTAATATATATATATATACTATAAGAATCACTTGCATATTTTGAAGATTTGTTTTTTTGTTACCCATTTTATCTTTTTATTTATTTTGACTACTTTATTATTGTTTTAGGTCTTTTAGATGATTTGATTATTTTGTTGGATTTCTTAGTAAATTCACTTTTTTGTTATTTAATTGACTTTAGCTCCATGTATGGATTAATGACTACATTTGAGGAAATTTATTTTATTATCCTTTCTACTTTGAGGATATTACAACTCCACCTTTGATGGATCTATGGTACTTTTTTTTAGGTTTTGAAGGTTTTTTTTATTAAATTTGGCTTCTCTCATGTTGGAGATTCAACTTGAGAGATCATTTGGGTTTAGTGGGCTTATTGTGAGCCAAATCTTAGTGATTCAAACCGTTCACTTTTTACTACTTATTGAAAAGAATATTCATATAAAAAAATTATATACTTCAATCACACTTATCTTTGAAAATTGAATATCTACCCTACTATAAGAAACACTTACACTTTGGGAACAGTGCAATGGGTTGTATTAC